AATTCTAGCGACCGCATGAACTGTATAAACACAAGTTTGGAAAGATTTCCACTTCGGGGGCTCACCGTTGGAAAATACCAACAATTCGCTCTCATTCTGCCGAAAGTTCCCCGGCGAGAATTTTCCTACGCGTTCTCGGGATTTATTTTCATGAAATATCAACACTCACTTCTCGAATTCTAGCGACCGCATAAACTGCATAAACACAAGTTTGGAAAGATTTCCACTTCGGGGGGGCTCACCATCGGGAAAGACCGAGAATTCGCTTTCATTCTGCCGAAAATGAGATTCGTTTCGAACACGTCGCGAGCCATCCTGCTTCTGGAACCACAACGGTGAACGGCGGCCAAAAGAACTCTCGGGAAACACAGTGATGATGATGAAGCAACAAGAAACATCGACTGGGTGATGATTGAGGGAGGGACAGGTTCACAATGCCAAGGACACACAGACAAACCCCCAACGGGTTCTTTTTCACGGTCGTCGCACGTGATCACTCGAACGCGCCAACGGATTGAACACTTGCCAACCCACGTCCGGACGACGGCATCATTTTGGCACGGGGTTCAGGGAGAGCTAGGATTTTGACCCGCAATTCCGATCAGAAATGCTGTTCATGACACGGGTAAGCGATAAATCTGCGATGTACGAGAGAAAAAAAAAGGGTCAGTGGAAGCGAGGGAATTGCAACACAGTAAAAGGAGAACCTCGAATAACGTTGTACACCCACACAGTATTCATTACTCAAGTAACAGGAGCCCTCAAATAATGAGGCTCTGCACCTAAATTTTTAGGCCTGAAAATCGGAGAAACATGAGCCTCAGGCTAAGACACTCAAGCGACTTTTTGCGCTGGTAAACAAATTTTTGTACAGCAACTTGAACCTTTTGAAGGAAAATCCCTCTTCATACAGTCCATTATCCGAAGCAGGGTATACAATAATTGCGAGGCGACTTGAATTTGTGGCCCAAAAGAAATTAATTACAGTGAGTCCCCAAGATGCAGACGTAATTGGAGCATCAAGATTGTCCCAAGTCAAAATGTCCGTAAGTCAAGTCTCGTTTTCCCTTAGACTTACATTGTACAGTATAATTTTTAATTGGTGTTTTATGAAAAAAAAATTCTTCAGAATTCCCTGAAACAATTTTGTTTTCCACTTGAACTTGAATTAGAGAATACATTTTCAACTCAATAAGAACATTTGGAGCATTGAAAAGTGTATCTCTGTACTGTCCACTGAAATTTTGGCATCTACAAAAATAACCTTCAAGTGAAAAAAAGTAGAAGTCCCTCTATCCTGGGGGTCATTTTTTAAAAATTAGCTAAGTGAATGATAATTTGGTGAGAGAAATACCCAAGAACTTTTCTTACATCAATTTTAGGGTTGGAAATATATGTTTCTTGTAATTTGGCCTGAAATGTATTTGCAATTTTATCACAAAATGTCCCNTTTTCTTACATCAATTTTAGGGTTGGAAATATATGTTTCTTGTAATTTGGCCTGAAATGTATTTGCAATTTTATCACAAAATGTCCCCATGGTGAGTCAGTGTCCTCATGCCGGGCCTTCTTTATTGATTTTTTCTGGAAAAATAAGTTGTCCTATGTTGAATTGTCTGCAGGTTGAGGTGTCCGCATGTGGGGGTCACATTAGGCGTATATACCCAAGGTACAATATTTATGAACCTTCATTTCTTAATTGGAAACGCCATTCCCACAACCATTTTCGGAAAAATTGAACCAAGTATAATAGGTTTTATAAAATATTGAGAATATTTTACAAGTGTAACTTACATTACTAGCCAACATTTTTTTTAGAAAACCAAGTCACCCACTAATGTGGCAAATACCAAAAGCACAAACAGGAGAGGATCGAGATCTGTTTGGCAACTATGAAGAACGATGCGAATTTCTCAGAAAAAGCTAGTTTCATAACAGAGATGATTCATGCGCTTTCAAAACACACTCAAGTTTAAAGCAGTGTTCACCAACCATGAGTTTTTTTTTTTGCCAGACCAAGGGAAATTTTCAGCAAAATAAATTCAACAAAAGTAACAATGAAGTGTCTGTTATGCTTATCTGAATCTTTCGAAAGACAATGTCAGTTAAAATTATCTGATGAAAAAAGTCGGCTTTTCTTTCAACAATGCTTCAAACAAATGTTCAACCACTGAAAATGAATTGTTTTCATTTTTAATTTTGAGAAACCTTTTTTAAAGCCCAACTTTCTAAATTTTGATGACTTTCAATTACAGCTGCTACATTGTTCCTCAATTCAATTTTTGCAAGAAGCAGAAACTACTGTATTCAATTACCTACCATTAAGTCTTTCAAGCAAAATTTTTTCGAGTCTGCAAAATTTTATTAAACTTTGACAGCCCGCAGAAATGTTTTGGGAATTTGCTGGTGCACAAACAATTTTGTCTGGAATGATTGTTGGCGGGAAATTTCGAGAATATCATTTTGTAATAGTGTAAGTCCTTTAGATACTAGGAGAACCGGAAAAGCATTTATCTATGCCTAAGGGAACTGAACTCAATCCAAGTACGGCTTTTCCCCCCCTTTTACATCCTTGAGAACTCGATGAACGAGGGTCAAGATTATTTTTAAACTCGAACTATTGAGAAAAATTTGCACAAAGAAAACATAAAAAATCGTTCAAATTTCTGCTAATAAAGAAGAATAATTCTTCTTCTCATTCACCTCAAGTTGGAAGGGAAACTTAATCCTATCTGACTTGAAATTTTGCGATTAGCTATTTTGACACTGTACATAAACTTGATTTTTTCTTCATTTTACCCAACGATGTGCGAGAACCAAATTCCATTGTTTCCAAAAATCGGATCCCTAACTCCACAACTCACAAGATTAAAAAAAAAATCTTGGTTGACGTTTCAATTTTATAATTTGTAATTCCTTTAGAGACGCGGCACGACACTGATTGCGTTTAATATTTGTTGGAAAAATAAGAGTCGACGGCACTCCGACATTTCGACAGCAAGATTGCAGTAATGGAAGGTTTCAAATTCCATCTGCTGAGTCACAGTTCAATACAGCACAAAGTTCCAAAAGCAAGAAAAGAACAGTCGATACTTAATCGCCTTAAACTGCACGCATTCATGGTACTGTACTGTACCAAACATTTCACCATCGCCGGAAGAAGGATCGTAACTGTCATGCATCATGCATGGGACAGATCAGATGCCAATATCTTTCTTGGCAAGTAGATACGTGCACATTCAGCGTGAAAATTCAGAACTTGCAGCATGGAACGAAATTATTACTGCAAATTAATGACCAGATTTGAAAAACTGATTTTGTAAAACTGACCGAAATACACTTCGCAAATACTGCAGATAAAGAACATGAAAGGGTATTGAGTACCCGTATTTACTCAAGTACCACACACCCTCAAGTCAGGCACGCACAGCGGTTTTTCAGTTGGAAATTTGGCTAAAATCTTATACCCCAGTAAGACGCGCACCCCAATTTTAAGTGAATCTAAAACCACAAAATTTCGAAAATAAATTCAAAAAATTCTACTTTAGACATGGATTGAACAAAAATCGGATCAATTTTCAATTTTTTCAGTACAAAAGAGTTTTCTTGTTACATTTGTTTGAAATTTTCACATTATAATCAAGTATAATGCACAGATAACTTCCGAAAACTTCTTGAAAAATTTGTACCCGCTTATGACACGCACCCCTTTTTTTCTTCTGAGATTTGAGAAAAAAGGTCCGCGTGGTATTCGAGTAAATTCAGTTCAATGAATTTTTCTTCCTTGTCCTCGACCAAGACCCTTCGGGCCTTGAGTGGATGTCCCAGGCATCTAAATTTTACCACGAGTCATTGAAAATTACCCCATCTACCGTTTCAGTCGGATGAAGAATTCAGGACTAAGAAGTTGAGTTAAATGGCTAATTTTTTTTCCAAAATGTTGCCTCATGAAAAAAAAAAAATTCCTTAAAAACATTCTCACCGCCTTCATGGTTGATCGGTTAGACGCACATTTCAATCACTATTTTGAAAACACCATAAATTCTGATTTTTCCGTGGCTTGGTAACTTCTTCAACCGTCTAAAGAAACGTTTCCAGAACCTTCTGTATTCACGAATAAGTTTTCACACGCCAATTCTACAAATGAGTCACCATAAATGCCAAGTTGTACAGGAGTAAAGGAGTCCTTTTCAGGAATGCCCTAGATCAGTGCTGTCCAAGTGTCAGGCATGAATAAGGGCCAGACTGCAGAGGTAGAGAGACATTGCAGGCCACAATAGAAAAAAGAATTTAGAATCCAACTTTTTAAATGAACAATTTCAAATTTAATTCAGTGATATGCATTGAATCAAAGGCATATTTATGTAATTTTTGAATTGGGTGAACATTTTGTATTTTTTAATTAATCCTTCAATGCGTATTTGAAAATAATAGGGAAGGGACTGTGGACAGATGGGAAGTCTCCGTGGGTCAGAGCCAGCCCGTAAGCTGTTCCTTGGGCAGCATTGACCTTGATATTTGATAGCATAATAATCATCAGCAGTATAGGCTGAAAAAACTTTTCATCTGCACAGCGTTTGACTCAATCCCTTCTCAATTTAACTCTCCTTTACTTTCTAAGGCAGCCGCAGGATCACTTAGAATCACAGGCTGATGCAAGGACAGGTTAACGAACATGACCACCAACAATAAAACCCCGTACTGTGCAATGTAAGAACGATAATTCGGAAACACGAACAGCAACGATGAAGAGTAAAACGTCGTCAGCTTAGCAGGTAACACGATCAGGTTGAAAAATGCGTAGAATCAAGCAAGTAATCCATACTTGCATACGGGGCATCAGTTTCAAAGCCTCATTCACACGCACTAAACTTGACAGCTACACTCGATCCACCTTCACGCGATAAAGCCCCTGGAAAAGAAGCAAAATGAAAATGGTGCAATGAAGAAGACTCAACGAAGTGCACGAGTGTCTCCGGAAATGACACGGCAGAACAGGGTTTCGATGAAATGATGCAAATATATTCGTCTACATAGTTTCCTCTTAATCTCCGCTCCTTACTTGGCCAAGCACTTCAGATGGATGGATTTGGATTCACGAGTACCACAAGGAAAGTAAACACACAAAAAAAAACAACTTCCCGCAAGTCGAACTGCCACGAAATCTACTCCCCCTAAAAAAAAAACAACACTCTTTCCTCCCTCTCGAGTCCTACGTAACAAAATCGAAACCACCGTGCCGATAACTACGAGCTTGTGCCATTATAAAAAAAATCGGACATAACACGCGGATCTGAGTTATGAACACTGAAGAGGAATGCAGATTTTGCGCGACAACGGAGATTCTCGCGTCTTCTTTTTCTCAGCGTCGAAAAAATTTCAAGAGCATCCCGCTCGTCTTACATAAAGTCATGAGATTTCCGACCGAAAACAAATGCAAGGCACACTCGAGAAGCCCCCACCGAAAAGTTGCAACCACAATCCGAAAAACGAGGGCGCAGGCACGTGTGGGTTACAACAGAGACACGGTAATTTTTTCCTGTCTTTTTCTCATCAAGCTCTCGCCAGAGTTTCTTCCCTTTCTTCTCTCGGTCTGGATCTAAACAAAATACAAGTTTTTTGAGCAGTTTCGACAAAAAATACAAGTCTTGAGACCAATGAGAAGCTCAAGAGATAAACCACAGGAGCTTTTGAACTGAACAAAGCGTAAACCGGTGAATAAATGTTGAGGTTGAAAAAACCGAACGCGAACGACGCCAAGAAAACGCGTCTGGAAATCAATGAAAATGCAGAACTACATCTCCATAAAATAAGAGTCTCAAGCAGGTAAGAAGAGGACATTATTTATGCTCCAAGTGCCGCTTCAGTATGACATCTACCCTCTGAAAGAATCCATCAGTACAGCTTCGACAAACTTTCGTCGACTTTCTTTTCATTTCTCGCACAAGCAATTTAAGCAATATTCAAAGCTTGCAGTAAATTTGCTGACAGTTGAATGATAAAAAAATACTTCCTATTACATGATATTCTTCCCCCACAACTGCTCAAAATACATTTAGATATTGCCATTAACGCGTTAGCCAGCAGCAACACGAGTATGATGAATCAATAACCAGCCATGAGAATATTCTTGAAGATTGCTGCACTTCTCGATTAGCGTTCTTCCCTTGTGTCCGGTTCGCTGAAGAATTATTTGGAATGTGTCTTTTTTGGCTCTCGAATGGGTTTCTGAAAGGCATTTCTCAGAAATTGCACAAACTGGCTGCATCAATAGACATGAAATTTCACGACAGGTGCTCATGAAATCAGAAAAGAAAGCTGAAAATTAATAGCAGATGCCAGACTAAAACGTTTACGGATGGATACATGGAAGTGAAGAACGCCGTCCTGAAGCGACATCTCGTATGAAACTAGAGAATGTAACGAAGAACCTCTGGTGAGAGCGCACAACGAAGAAAAAAAAAAGAAGAGGAGGATGAGAATTACAATTGAGGCAGAATTGATCGCGACAACAATCCAAAAACATAATTGTACACCGAAAGACCACCTACTCTACACCCGGTCGAGAACATTACAAGGCTTCAAATGTTCAAAAAGGCCACCGTATGGACGGATGCGCGCAAACTCGCGAACTCCACAATTATTTTTTTCAAGTCGGGAATTTGAAATGCTTAAGTTTTCTGTCTTTTTTCTTGTCTTCTGTTCACGCGGATATAAGATTCTTGGTGTCCACGGATGTTGAGCTGAGGGTTTCCGGAGAGCACGGCTTCTCCCCGCTGCCCGGGGACACTGAAGACGCTGTTCCCGCTCGGATCCGAGACCAGGTTTCGCACCCCAGCGCTTTTGCGAAATGGTCATCCACTGAGTACGAAACATAAAAATGTTACTTTAAAAAAACGAGAGACTGAAAAGAAACATTAGTTCGAAAATCGAGAGCGAAAGTATTTCAACCGTAGGTGTCAGCTTCCCAGTAAAATTTCAGAAAACATTCTCTTCCGACAAAAAAGGCGTCGAGCGCCACACAGTATTTGAAGGCATTGACGAATGAAGTTCCTACACGAAGTCCTCGACAAACATCTTGCAGAGTTCCTCGCATAAGAATACGAGATTTACCTTACTTAATGTAGGATTGATCATAAATTAAGAAAAATTGTGAAATAATTTGCCTACAATAATAGGAAACCGAAAGCTTTAAAAACAAAGTGACATTACCTGATAGTCCTGTGACGCTGGAGGTTGGCGAGGAACGGTTTGAAGAGGAAGAAGAGACCGAAGATGAAGAGGTAGCCGCGGAAGCGGAATTCAAAGCAGCTTCCGATGAAGATGAGATCGCGGGGGAAGAGAACAACTTCTGGTAGGACGGGCCCAACGAGCGCCGGAAATGATCGTCTATCACAGGATCACTGCTTCCGACTGCAAAAAACAAATTGGAAATTAAGCCTCCGACGTCCATGAGCAAAACTCACATGGACCAACCGGACAATAACGCTCTTATTTCAATAAGCATGCTAACGTACACGTCTCTCTGCACCAGTCAACTGAGCCCAATTAAGGAAACCCAAATGCTCCACCCCAAAATTGTGAAACTCTTCTCAAGTTCTTAAAAAGGAAAAAACTGACATTTCTCCCTTATTTCGGCTTTCACATGCTGAAAGCATAAACATAGTTCTGAAACTCAAATGGCATTCTTCAGACATCGATAATAAGCCAACGCAATAAATAAAAGAGACAAATACTGTACTTCCTTTGCGCTTCACTTGGACCTTCATCATTCTGAATAATAGGTGGGGACATTGTTCCACACATAAATTTAGATTACTGCATCAGTAATATCAAAAATTCCCTGCATTCTGCAAAGAATGTAACCCAGCTGAAATACGTCATTTATCGCACTGCCAAATAATGTCAAACGGCATATATAGTACCACTTGTTCACACTTGCGATAAAGAAAAATTAAAAACACACTAGTCCCATTAGAAGTTTACATAATACAGTACAGTAGTGTTGCACCACAGTGACAATTCAGCTTTAAAAAACGGCCACCTATAAATCGACCGTTTAATAGTGCAAAATTGCACGTTAAAACCGTATCACTGATAACTCAAATGCAGTATAGACATACGTGTACACGCAACAGCAAAACCGACGTTATAGAGAGCGATTTAACAGGAATCTAGAAATGGTCCAAGGATTCTAGGTTGAAAAAATTGGAAAATATACATAGGGTTCAGAAAAATACTCAACTGCATTTCGGATTGCCACTCGTATCGATTCTCAGATTTTTATTTCTCGTATTCTATTGGAATGGTCTGTAGAAGAACCGAAATATGGAGGCGCAATTTATATTTCAATCAGAAGATGTTTTCCATATTCTTTACGAATGTTTTCTATATCTGTACAATAATGTTATTTCGTGCTGTGGAATTCCAGAAAATATAGATCGGGAAAATAAAGCTACTTGGTTATATATTATGTTGCTAATCTATAATCTTACGTACAATCCCACACCGAATAATGGAATCCTTCCAGTTCGGATTCATGCAGCCACAAAATGTATCTGCGGAAGAGTACATGAAGGATTGTCCTTTGAATAAATCAAGTTTCTACGGGTAGTTGGGTTCCTACATCCTTTTTAAATGTGAATACAAATAACTTTTAATGCTCAACATATTTTCTCAGTTTCTATCCGTTTTCGCAGTGTGGAAAATATTACAATATTATGGACGGAAAATGAGATTATGCAGTGATTCACCATGAAGCTAATTCAAAGGGTTGGACACAAACTTAAATCTTCACAGCACTGGGTTACGGAACTCCAAGAAGAATTACATTAGTAATGTATCAACAACTCTTTCAATTTTTGCCCAATGACATTTTTGTCCGATGGACCTTGCCGAACGTATAAAGGTAATGAACCGAGTTTTCACTGCACATTCCATTCAAAACGTGGATAAAAAAATTAAGGAAAATAATATCGAAAGCGAGAGAAAACTCGAGCCAATTGTTGGCGAAATCTACGTAGCATTAGCGGTGTTTCGTGGAGTGGCCGTCGCTGTAAGAAATTACGATCGCCCTGGATTACCAAAAGCACACGAGCCGCCCAAAAAATAAAAGTTGATCAAATCAGGTCCACATCGGGAGAACTTACTGATGGAGGAAACAGTAAGAGGGGGTGGCGTCTCTCTCCGCAGGTCGGTAGCAGCGGGAGGACGCTTGGATCCGCCGGTCATGGAAGTCACTTCGCCCGAGCCAACCCGGGCGCGGCGAAACTCGGAATGATGCGGATAGCTGGGCGGAGGAGGCAGGACCGCGACGGGCGCCGGTATCACAGATGGTCGGACGGGAGTCAACGGCGGTGGCGACTCTTCCCGCTGCTTCTTCCGCATGTCCAGCGGCACGGCGTCCACCACGTCTTTCACACGATTCGTGTACGGCGGCGGCGGCAACAACGGACGCATGCTCGCAGGCCACCCGCTGCTCGTGCTAGAACTTGCTTCCCCGTAAATGGGTCGTTCCGACCTCACGATGCAATAGTCCAATGCACTAAGAAGAAAATTCAAAAGTAAACAATAAAATAATTACTGTAAAGAATGCATTTCACGGTGAAGTGAAATGCACAAGTTCGCACTTATTCGTACAATCGACACGCGATTACTCAATGAGATGAGACGCTCAAGCATTGAGATTCAAAAAGATTCAACGACGGGGTTCACTCGCGTATAAGCAGTATCAAGATGATGGGCGGAACTCTGAGAAACATAGGCGGCCAACAACTTGGAAAACCTTCCGAAAAAATGCCACATCTAGAAGGACAAATCCTGTAGTCGCTAACGTTTCGGATTTCTGCAACGACCACACGAGTACCTGTCTTCTAGATACATAGCAACAGTTCCACGCGATACGTCGTTGAGGTGACGCGAATTCAACGTGCATCGGTTATCTTCTATAGGGTTCCTTTACGCTTGGATAATGTACGGGCGCCTCGACTCGGATAACTGAAAATCACGAATAACCGTTCACCCTTCATCAAAATCTATGCGGACCTAAGCAAATTGATTATAAATAATGAAATACTGTAAACATACATCCCACAGGATTATGAAAATTTCACTTGGTAACGTAAGCTGAAGGATGTCAGTTCGTGACATGCTGCATCATTTCTAGCTCGAAAAGTACAACAAGGTGGATTGAAGCCAAGTGCACCTTGCAGAAATGCTGCATATTTTTACTGGAGTTTTTGTAAATGTGTCCTACCATCAGATTTTTAAATTACGACCTGACACTATGGTACAAAGCAAGTCCTTAGGAAACTACAGTATCAATTACGGATAAATTATCTTTTTCGTAAAATAATTTCAAGTCGCTGATCAAGACGAGAGTAGGACTATCGAAGTGTCCCCCTACCCGACCTTACTCGAGTCCAAACCCTATCCTTTGGCCGGAGAAGGCCAGTATACCCAGAGCCATTAGGGAATTGAATCAAAAATCGGAGGAGCATGGATAAATCAGGATAGATCATTGCAGCTTAAATCTCAAGCATACAAAAAGTGAGAAACAAAAATTGAAAAGGTTTTTGTAAATATTCGGACGCCAAAAGGAACTTCTCCGTCAACCAACTGGTCATTCATTCCGGCTGTAGTTACAAGCACGGAATACCGAAGAAGCACGTTCACTCCAGCATTTGGAAGTACAGAAATCATCCGCCGAATGATGCAATCGACATCGGGAACAGCGTGGGAAAACGATGTCACATAATATACACGTAATACAACTGAAGGTATAGCGCATATCGCGTCACACAGACCACTGAACATTCCCCCCCAAACGTATCTCAACGTCATAGGGATCAGATATTCAACTCACTTCTCACGAGTTTCACCCGGCCACCTTCCCAGCGGTTCCAGGGCACGGTTTCTCACACACTGAACCTTGGTAGGCAATGGATCTTTCACCAAGCTTAGTGGACTCTCCGCTCGTCGCTTTCCATCACTACTGACTTCAGACGATTTCTTGCGATCATCATCTGACGGTCGAAAAAAATGAAACGATGAGAACTGACATTCAAAACGTCACTTTCGAATACAAAGCACCTTGATCCCATGGCTGCCAGACTTTCGCGGGTTGTTCACGACCTCCTCCAGCTTCTTTCATGCTGCCAGGAATCTACAGGAATGGCGAATAATAAAAAGCCTGGCACTATTTAACTTGGGGATGTCAAGGGAAACGTCACTATCGTTCCCATGGGCGCGGCCATTTCTTACTCCTTCTGCCCTCTATGTGTACTTTGCTTTCCTACAGTTCCCAATCCAAGGTCTACTCTACAGCAACCCTGGCAAAGAGTGACTTCAAAGCGGCTACCTCACCGTACCTCACGACGGGATGGGCATTGGATCAAAAATACGTGCGGACAAAGCGCGGCAGAAGTGAAAAAGGGCTGCGGCAAGGTTACAAAGGGGCGGCGGGGTTACAAAGCGGTGCTCTGTGTGTCCTTTGCTAGTTGCGTATTTGTGCGTGGGAAGAAATTATAAAAAAAACTTTGTGTTTTAAATTGAATGTTTTAACTCATACATTCAAACCTTTTTCAATCAACCAAGTTTTCTATGCGTAAAGAGTGACACTTCATCTGCAGAAAATCCTGTCCTCCTTCCATACACCAGCTTTTTCCGCAGCTCCACCTTCCTGGACAGCAGACACAATACACCATTGATGCTTTTCAACTGTCCGCCTTTGCTCACTTGCCCAC